CTTCCTTGAAACTTCGGAGAATTTCAATCTGCACTTTGATAACCTGATCTGGATTTAGTTGACTAAGAGAAGATTTTTGGATTCCTGTCCCCTTGGTTTTCTTTTACGAGATTGGTGTTTTGCAATCTATTTTACACAAACAGGGAATACTTGTGGCATTATAAAATCTCCACTGATTATGAGATTGATGTTTTATAATCCCGGCAAGATTAACTGCCAAATATTTTTTTATTCTTCTAATTATCTACAATTTCATATATTTAATCCAAAGGATAGAATAGAACAGGCAAGCAAGTAGTCGGCATTTTCTTCCAGATTTAGCTCATATCAATTGGAGGACTGTTTGGCAAACAAGAAATCTGAGTATGACTCGGCACCTAATTGCAGATCATACAACAAAAAATTTAGTCATTAGAAGATATAATTCACACTTAAAGTAGCTTCATTTGAGATCTTGACTGCATAAAATAAAAATAAATAAATAAATAAAAACCCCATTTTTAACACTCAAGAAATTGAGTTCTTTCTATTTTGAGAAATGGGCATGAATGATGACACTAAAGGTGACAAAATTATGTGGTATCCAAACAGCTCTTAATCAATCAAATTGTTATAGAAAAATAAAAATTAAATGGGAAAAAATTTTAGTAGATTTTTATCTTTTCACCTAACCCCAGTCATATCCCACTAAAAAAACACAATCAGTTGTAATGTTGAGCCGGGGTGATGACAAAAGAGTCACTCTCAGAGGCAAAATAATACAGAGAATCTTAAAGACAAGATATAATGAAGGAAGGAGCCCACAGAGATTGGTCCACTTTAAATATGGGTATGAATTGTTTGGTGATGAGAAGGGGTTGAAAATGATGGAACCATTTCATTAAATTCTCCCTCCTTTTTCACCCCCAAAAATGGGGTGATTAATTTTGATTTTGAGTGATCAATATTGTTTGAAAAATGTGGATGAATTATTATAAGGAGGAATCAATCAAGCTAAGGTGAAGGTCTTGTTGTTCTTAGATTTTATGTTAGCTCTATCATGTAGGGATTATTATTAATTAACATTATGTTGGATTATTATTGTTTTTAATTTCATTTGGACTTTTTTTTTTTTCATGTATGATCAGAATATTACCAAATCAACTTATGTACATTTTATAATTAATTCATCCTAATAAATGTTAAGGGTGGGATGATACCTCTCTATTGAACTAATGCATTTAAGGATAATTTGGTTATTTTATATCATATGGTTTGAAAGATGTTGAAAGAGGAGAGAATACATGAAGATTGGTTAGTCCTCTCACAAGGTAGCTGCAAGGTGAAAAATACAGGCACTTGGCCCACGAAAGAAGAGAAAAACAAGTTCCATCAAGAGATTCCTTCAAGGACCAGCCATATATGAATCCTTAGATGAGTGTGGAACGAAATTATCAAAGTTTTTAAAGGTAAAAAGGAAAGGACATTTTTTGGCATATAGGCATAGGCTACCCCAATCAAGTCACTAACAAAGTACTAATTTATGTTCTATATTTTTCACATGGGAATTTTTGTTCACTCACAATATAATATCATCAAGGTCAAGATTGCATGTATTTGGACAAAAATAAGTGTATATAAAAATGGATCCATGATTACTCAAGATATGTATTAGTAGGTATTTCCCATTAACTCAAAAGAGTTTGTTTAAGCAGTGGGCAGCCCATATTTTTATAATTAATTTACATAAAAAATATAAAAAAATTAACTTTTATTTTAATACCATTATTATCTATGAAATTTTAATTGATTAATCAATTAAATTAAAATTAAAATTTATATTTTTATATAAATTAATTAAAAAAAATATATTTATTACACCTTTAATCTATATTTTATAAGATACAAGTTAGAAAAATGAATTCAAATGTCAAAATACGACAATACTATAGTTATAATATTATGTAGGAGTGTAGACTTACAATTATAGTATAGTATTAAATAAATATAACATGGTACTAAACAAATGAATACACATAATATTATAGGTGAACCTTAAAAAAAAAAAGAGTAATTAAATTACGATACATTATATTGTAAGTTTATAATATCATGTAATATTATAACTATAGTATTTTTATTAAAAATATTAAGGAATCATCCTATAGCTAGGAAGCTAACTTTTCCCATGCATACAGTGCATTTTAATGATTTTGTAGATTAATTGCAATAAAAAATATTAAAATTACAATATCACGTGATATTATAAATATATAATATAATATACAATTATATAATTAGTTTTTTTCATTTAGGTGTCTACATGTAACATTATACAATTAATATTAAATATTAAATATTAAAAGGTCATTTTTATAGTTAATAGATTAATTTTATAGACTTACTAATTATTATGTTAACATTCTATTTTAAATTTAATAATAAGATTTACAAAAAAAATAATGATAATTATTTTCATAAATATTAAAAATAACTAGGTGAATAAAATAAAATATAAAGATAAAATTTTTAAATTAAAAAATTTAAAGACTAATTTAAAAATTTTTCAAGAGTCCAATAGACCCCCTTGCCCCAACATGGCTCCGCCCCCCGCATTTTATCCACGACGCATCGGTAGAAGACTCTTCTGATCTAAAGTTCTTTCTATTTACGTTAGTGTTTTATAACCCATGTGCTAGGCCTAACGCATCTATACCAGAAGAGAGTTAACCTAGGGATGTTACCCATAAGTCTTTTCCTAACAAATCCCTTTATTTTATTATTATTATTTTTTAAATGAGTTTACATTAAAGTATTTTTTTTAACAAAGTGTCATGAGTGGGATTCGAACTTCAAACCTATCAAAAAAAGAGGGACTACACTTTTAAAATGACTCGAAGGTTACTTGACTCGAAATGCTAAGTGCACATTAAAGTATTTGAATTCTAATTTTTGAATTGATAAATGCATCTTATAAATTAATTTATAGCCATTAGATCGTAAAATATAAGTGCTTGTAACAAATCCTTTGAGGCCTAGAAGTAATTGTAATTTCTTTGAGGAATGCTACGGATACTTGGCGTATTCGTGCACTCTACATTTGATTGGTGTGGAAGTAATTTTATTTTAATTTTTGAAAATAAATATGCTTGTGCACTCAATAAAATGCCGAGTGCACTTAGTATTGCTCGTCTTCTTTTTTTGAAAAGTACAGATTCTTAGAACGGGTCTTATACCTTGATTGCAATTATAATTCAAAATTTAAAACGTCAAAAGAAATTAAAAATTAAAACGGACAATAAATTTTCAAAACCTATATCTAGACTTATAGACTAAAAACGTGTTTGACATTAAATACGTTTATTTTAACGATAATACTATAGTTATAATATTATATAATATTAAATATAATATAATATTAAATAAATAAATACATATAATATCATAAATAAATTTTTAAATAAAAAAATTAATTATATAATGATATATTATATTATAAATTTATAATATCACGTGATATTATAACTATAATATTTTTTTTATTTTAATCTAATATTACTAAATTTTCTACACCTAGAACTAGAGGCAATAACAATTCTAGGGTAGCATAAAAGATTCAAGAATTTGATCAATAAAATAGTATATGTGCGCCTTGCCTATCAAGCAACAACCTATCGTGTAGGCAAATTGGCAAGTGCCACAATCTAAATTTAATACGATATTAAAAATATCATGATGTTTAATTCTGGTTTAATAGATGAGATCTACATAGAATCTAATGTATATCCCATCCCATTTTGTGACTATGATTGCTCATCCTGGTTTTTTCGCATTCTTCTTAGGGCCTAGGCCCCTAAGAAATGAACCCAAGGGCAACAAGGCCACTTACTCAAAGGCCCAAAGCTTCATTTTCTTATACTTCTTTCTATATGGAGCCTTGGCCCTTTAATTATTGAACCCCACGAGGCCCATCTGGAACATACCCTCGGTCAGATTTAACAATATGCTTGGGTCAAAGAGGAAGGAAGGAAAGGGAGAAAAAAAACCTTATCTGATTATCCAAAAAAAAAAAAAAAATCAAGTGAAGAAAAAGGGAGGAGAAAATTTTATTTTATTTTATTTTTTTATTTAATTCATCTATTTATCTAGATGAGGAGAAATAATAAGAGGTGAATAAAGAGAAATTGAAGAATACAATTTTCCTTCGTTTCATTTCTCTTAACCTAAACATATGATAAGGGATTGATAAAGAAAAAATAAAAAAAAAATACTTTTTTATTATATTTATTGTCAATATGTGAGAAAAGATACATATAAAAATGTGAATTTTACATTTTTATTTAAAAATATTAATTTTATCAATTTTTAAATAAAATACCAATTTTTTATCTTTTATTTAAAAATATCAA